TATTGAATTTAAAGGCAGAATCTCAGGTCCTTACTCAGTTTTGAGAAAGTCTTGATTTGAGACAGGCCCCTTGTTAATGTCAGTGACAGCTTTTCTTAAGCAAGGACATTAGGACTGAGATCAGTAGTATTTGGTTGAATAGAGACTGGATGAAAATTGAGAAGATTCTCAATTTGTTCCATACAGAATAATCCTTCTGTGGATTTGCTTTGCTACCTGGAATAATTTCTTAATCTTTCCTGTGAAGGAGAGTCTCTCCAGCTGTTCACAGAACAAATCAACTTTATCAGCACTTTATTATAACTTTCCTTTATTATCATTTGCCTTCATGAGTTTTCAGTTTATCTGATTTTAAGGAAGTCACTGCTACAATTCTTTGATTTAAAGCTGAAATGTTAAAAGGCTCCAAATTATGTTTTTATCCAAGAGAAAAATGTATTTTTTGAGCGCTAAGGAGTTTCTCACAGCTTTCTGATTATTTTGTAAAAATATACTGTCTGGCACGTGGAGCCAGCCACCAATAACCGGTACCAGCATAGCTGACTCATTTTGATTGTATAGAAACATCGTAAGTACTGAGTATCAAAACATTAGCTAACAAGTTGAGCAGAGCCTCTCCTGCCATGCTGACATGTGCAGCTTGTTTGTACTCTGAATGAAAACCATACAATGGTAAGCTGCCAATACACTGCAGCTGATTATTTAAAAAAACCCACATGGTTATGTTCATATCAGAGGCTGGCACCCCTTGTGAGTAGGCACTTTTTATATAGCTGTCTCAAATCAACATAAAACTGAAGGTTGCCAAAATACAGAGCGTTAATCTAATGAGCCTCTCTAGCTATTGCTACTTGTAAGATACAGATGCATGGGTATGAAGTTGCCAGTGTGCATGGGCATTATATTATATTGACAGTTTCAGGATTTATAAAAGCACTGGGGTCTTTCCTCTGTGCGCATTTGATTCCCACAAATATTAACAAGAGTTACAGGCCATGTTGTTTGTGAACTGTACTCTCTGGAGTTCAAATTTTGTAATGTTTGTAGACTTTTTGCCATCTTTTTTTTTTAACTGTTATCTGATGTTTTCATCTGATGTCATATTACAAATAAAAAAAGAGCAAACAAAAGGCAGAACAGCTCCAGAGAACCACAGGAACAAACAGGATAAACCACAATTTGAAAGCAATACTTTGCTATGAACACTCAGGCCTTTCTACTTCCTTGCTAATATTTCCCTTTCTGAATCACTTTTTCGTTTACTTACCCAGCTCCCATCTGAGCTGCGTTTTTCCTGCTTTGCAGAAGAATTCCTTTGATTTGACTTCCATTTCTTTAAGTGCATGTTGACATGTGTTTATTTATTTAAATGTGCATGCATGGGCTTATCAGAGGTAGAGCAAAAGAAGTGAGGCCTGTTGGCCTGTTGTTAGGAAATAATACGGTATTAATTATTATTTTCCATTAGATTGCTTGTCTAATTACAGTTTGTAAATCCCTAATGACAGAACCTTTTCTGTGAATAGCTATTCCAAATATCACCTTGATTCAGAACATGGGAACATAATAAATGCGCTGCTGGATCAGGCCACTTGGTCCATCCAGTACTGTGTCTCTAGCAGTGTCAGTAAGGGATGCTGTATAGGGAGAGCACGTGAGTGTGACCGCTTTTTGTTGTACTCCCCAGTCATCTACTGTCATAGGACTAGGAGTGCTAGAGGCAGCATCTCTACGTGTTCTCTTTAGTGTCTGTTTTTGGACTTGTCCATAGTTCGTCTAATTGTCTAACTGTCTAATCCATTTATGAACCTGCATCAATTTGGCACCACAGTGTTTATAACAGCAAGTTTACAGTCTGCTGTGTAAAAAACAGATTACTAATCCCCCTTAATTATCGCCACCTCTAAGAAAGTAACACAGCAGCATCTTAAAAACAGACCAGAAGTCCGTTCTACCTTGGGCTTTAGCAACCCAGTACAAAATGACGATTCTTATTCCAAGGAGCCTACTGTGTATTTTAGGCATTCTTGAGCAGAACCTCAAAGTTACAGAAACCTTTGGACCAGAAAGTGCTGATTGCCTATTTCAGTACCTTCAGTAACGTTGATTACTAAACCTGAACCTGGTCTAGGGGTGTCTACATTAGCCTTAAGTATATCCCTTTTTTGTCTTTGTGTTATTTTTTTTTTTTTTTAGTAGACCATCCTGACCTCTGTTGAGCTGGTGGAAAGGAAGGAGGCCTGGCGGGGATGCAGAGACCTAAAGATACTCTTAAAATGCGTAGCTAATACTTAACTTGCGCTTCCCATGTTCCCTGGAGAAGTGGGAAGAGGTGCTGGCCAGTAGGTATGTTCCTTGGAAAGCAGTTCCAGCTGCAGGGCTTTCTGCACTGTGGTCCCCCTTTCATGCAGTGGCTAAGTATTATTTTGCAGCCCGTCTTCCTATCAGGCTGTTCACGCTGCTGCACGGATTAATTCTAGACCTCTTAATGTTTTATAGTATTACACAGAGGTTTTGGTGTCATTTTTCTAGCTGATAGCCTTATTGTAGGAAAGTCTCTGCCCTGATGAGCCTGCTGCCTAAGACAGGACAACAATCTGTTTCTGGATAAACTGCGGTCATTGCTGGTACAGTCTGAGGTGCTTGCTCATTTTTCTCTTGCTGGGGCTCAGCATTTTCCTTTCAAATATTCAGAAAAAAACCCACTGTTGTCAGAACGCAGACAAACGTCAGATTGGACTTCACCTCCAAAGGAGCATAACACGCTGAATGCCACGGCAGCTTTAGCCAAGACCCGCCTGTTGACACAGTCAAAGTCATAGTCTCTTTACATTTGGCGATCACCCTCAGTGCTATTGTTCCAGCCACCAAAGGACAAGCTTGCTTTGACATTTCCACCCAACCGAGTCGCGGTGCCATGCAGCGCTGCTCTCGCCGCGCCAAGGACGTTGCCATCCCGACTGCAGTCACCCCAACCTCATTCTTTCGCTTTTCCTTCTGAACGTCAGGATTTTGGTGAGGATCGTGGGACTCCGTGAGCCCCCTCTCGTGGATAGCTGATGCAAACTCCTTGCTCGTCTCGGAAAATGCAATGCTTTATCTTCTTGGGTGGTGCTCGTTCTGTGTCTGCTAAAGTGAGCACTGGAGACTGAAATCTCATTATTTGATCCTGTGGTTTTGTTACTTTAAAAGCCAAAGGCAAATCAAATGTGTAACAAGGCTTTTTATAGATGATAAAATACAAGGCAGCAAGTAAATCTATCAGCGATAGCAAGATAGCTTAGTTCTAACAGGGAGCATTGTCTGGAAGTTTTGTAGCCGTGGGCAAGTACATTTGTATTAGTGTTCTCATGTGCAAATGAATTATTGTATTTTTTAAGAAAATGGTTTAGTGTTTTTACTGCAGCAGATGCCTTTGATCAGCATGAATAGAATTATATGCATGATAATTTGGAATTTAATTCGATTTACAATATGTTCATTTAAAATTTTCTGTTGACTTTTGAAATGACAATCATCAAGAGAAGTGCACAAAATTCTCATCGGAGATTAAATAAGGGGAGAGTGATCACTTGAGGAACTGGTCTTCTGAAATGCTGAGATGCCCGAGTGAACTCCTGCTGTGTAAGGGGCAATAAGCATTTCACAGAGGCTGTTACTGTGCAGAAATGAAACACAAAATAGGAAGACACACTATCTGTTTTAAAAACTAATTTTGATGAAGATAGAAACAATGTTAGATAACAGGGTGCACATTTTAACTTCTTAGACACATGACTGAGCAAAACATTGATCGCGATTTTACAACAGGAATTAAATCTAAGAGTTTGTATTTTTTTAGCTGTTTGATCTATGTGGAATGTGCTAAAGTTGTTGGCAGATAAACTTCAAAGCAGCTGTGCTTAGGATGTTGAAGCTCTGCAATGTTATTAGATCCAGCCACAGTTATTACATTTTAGCATTAGTGCTGGAAAACCTTGTGTTTGAAATGAATATTACCTCTCTGTAAGATAGTGCTGTCCCTCCCTTCCCTCCCTTCCCTCCCTTCCCTTCTTCTGTCCTTCCTTCCCTCTCTCCTCCCACCCTTTCTCTCTCTTTCTTTCTCTCTTTCCAACTGTCGGTCTGTTTTCCAGCATGTTTCTCTTGCCCCTCTTCCCCCCATCCCCTTCCCACCCTCCTCCTTCCCCTCCCTTCCTTCCTCCCTTTCCAACTGCCTGCTAGTCTGTCTTCCAGCACTTTTCTCAACCACCACTTCCCAAGTCACGCTGTGACACCTCACCAAAACAGACTTTGTGTTTACCATCCAGTGCCTGCTGCCTGACATGTATTCATGGATTAACTCCTACAGGCCCTGTTACCTTGCAGAAGAAGGCAGTGGAGGGCTCATGTTTTACTCCTTAGCATCCCTTTCACTGCTGTCCCTAAGGTGGTCCTCCAGCCGTTTTTCTCTGCTTGACTTTCTCTATGTTTAACCTTTCCTGAAATCACTTCTCCTACTCTTACTACTGACATTTGAGTGACTCATCTTGGGAGGTGATATGTGAGACAAGTGACGTTAACATGGTACAGTCAGCTGGTCAAACGTGTGTTTGGACAGCCTATGTCCATAACCATACTCCTGCCTTGGAAGGGAGCTGGCTGGCTGGGAGGCAACACTGGTGGGTTTCATTAGCTGATGTTATTTCAGTATTCAAAGCGAGGGAACTGGTAAATCATCATTAGCATCATTAGCATAGTTATTCACACCTCGGTTGTAGATATTTGATAACTGGCTATACATCACTTTCTCTGCAGCTGACCTTTTTTTTTTTTTCTTGGGATTCCTGATGTTTATAATAGGAATCCACTTATATATACATGCACAGCCATAGGCATGCACATATGTATATTCACGCATGCACACACACGTGCTGAGGCTTTGTAAATTGACATTAACTGCTGGTGTTTTTTTATTACAAAACATATTTCTCTATTGGTCTATTTGCACTGCTTTGTTTTAGCTTCATCTAATGCACTGGAACTCCACACTGTACAGCAGCATTGATGAGGCAGTAGGGAAGAAGCACGGCATAGCTATTATTGCTTTGTTTGTGCAGGTAAGTTTCCTGTGTTGCACTTGTTATCATGCACTGTCATTTGTCTGAGGAAAATAAGTTCCTTTCCATTTTCTTTCATTTTTAATGATTTCATAAAATTAAACAATGTATGACTGCTGGTATTCTATTCAAAAGATATTTTTAGTCATACCTTCTGTGTATGTGCTAAATAAGTAATTCTTGTTTAAGCAGGATATTGAAAGTATGTTAATTAAAGAAGGGATAATACATAGTTGGCCATTTCTCTCTGTGACTCTTGCTATAAGCAGACATCCACTCTTCATTCCTCTGAGGGCAGAATGAAGGCTGTCAGGAGGTACAGGTGCTTCACTGTCTCTGTAATGTGTTTTTCTCCATTCCTGGACAGGTCTGCTGTTCAGGGATTGAGGAAATACACAGAGGAGAGGAGGAAAGAGGGGAAAAAAACCCCTACTAACCCATTGGCACAGCTGAAAACTGGTAGTAGGATTGTGTTTTCTGAACACAGTGACAAGTGTGTTTCTTCACACAGGACAAATACGAGGTGAAGTCATATCATTTCTTCAGAGACGCCAGACTGACAGTGTAAAGAGTCTTGCCACAGACCCTCAGAAAAGCCTGCGACAAGGAGGCTTAAAGCTTAAAGCTTGCTGGGGAGAAGGTGTAATGCAAGCTGGGAAGTTAGCCCCATAGTCGAATTGCTGTTGAAAGTTTTTCAAGGGCTGCACTCTATAAAGATTTTCAGTTTTGGTCCTCAAGCACCAGATTCTCATCCTCCTCATGAGAAATGGCAAACTTTTATTTAAATGGGCTTGGAGGAAGAGGTTTAGATTTCGTGCTTAGGTCAAATGGATTTTCTTTCACAGTGATATTATTAATTTGTCGTATTCCATAACGAGTTTATGAATGCCTTTGAGCTTTACCTCTGTTTGAATTTAAAGGTACATTGGTTACAGCTCCAACACTTAGATAGAACTGCTAAAAATGGAAGTTAGAAAGTCTTCAGTTTTGTATCCTAGAGGGCTGTGTGATAATTGCTTATGTAAGTAAGTCACCACCTAATTCCAGCAGAGGTAACCTTCGAGTTAGTTAGAAAGTTATATATAAGTTCTTAAATAAATCTGAAACTTCAATGATACATTTTCCGTTTCTGGTCTCTCACGTTCATTAGAGTTTTTAAGCATTCCAAAGGGCTTTTTCATTAGCCAAGAAAGGCATCATATAATTACAACTGACCAAGGAAAAATAGTATTTATGCTGTTTAATAAAGGAACAGGGAGAGGAAATTCGGTGAACATTTTTCCTGTTAAAGGCATGGAAACATAAAAGTTTTGCACCACAGTTCTCGAACACATAATTTTAAGGTCAATGAAAATATTTTCACTGATTTAAGTGACAGCCCTTCGTGATTATTAGTTTAGAAACAACATCTTTGAAGTGATTTCAATATCTTTTACCTACTTCAAAGGTTTTGAATGGAAATCCCATTCTGAAGCAAAAGAAAATCCTCTTAAATTCCTAGAAATGACAAACTACCTATTGTTGACATTCAATTGTTTCCTTCCAGTGACTACTGTGGCATTCTATTCCAAGAGAAACAAAAAGCGATCAAATTTTTCAGGGTCCAGCTGTCCCGTTCTCACTCATGCCCGCTTCATTTCTCACCTCACACGTGCACACGTTGGCAAAGAAATCAAGTGGAAGGCTGTTCTGAGTCTTCCTCTTTTGCCAATGTTGTTCTGAAGGTAAAAGCTAGGGCCGTAGGATGGGTGATTTAGATCAGAAGCAGCTGAAATCAGCGTACAGGGTGAACAGTGTTCATGCAAAATAAGAATATCTTGTTTCAAGAACGGGTCTCTTTTGAAAGCTGCAACTTCTGTGCCTTAAAGATGTTAGGTAAAGGCAGCGCTGCAGGCTGCCAGGAGCAGGATCCCAGAGATGCCGTGAGGGAGGGTATCTGCCATTCTGCACTCTGCAGGCAGGAAAAAACTCTCCCAAGCTTCAGAGATACCTTGGGCCAGATTTGCAACGCTGTGTGAACAAATTCAGAAAGTGTCTGTTGTGTTTGTTCACTCTGTTCCTTTCTGTGTACTTTTCCAACAAAAACTGGTAAGGACAAACTGTATCCTTGGCATTTATATGCCATAATGCTGCATGATTTTGACTCCACATAGAGTATATGCTGCAAAATGGGGTTAGTCAAAACTTACCAGACTTAACTGTGACTCTTTCTAATGTTCTGTGTGTTTCTGTCTCTGCTTTAAAGTTATTTACACCTTGTTTACTTTTGGCTGTTGACTTTATTGTGATTTAATTATTTGGAGTTGCCATGTATCAGTGTATTTGGTTAACACAAGGTTGCGTAGCTTAACTGAAAACAACTACAGGACTTACTGTTCTGGTTGACCTCTGTCTTGCCTCACAGTTTCAGAAATAGCAAAATACTGAAACTCATCTTTGCTTCCTGTATTTCAGATAGGAAAAGAGCATGTAGGCCTAAAGGCTGTAACTGAAATTCTCCAGGACATCCAATACAAGGTAAGGCATTGTCTGAAGAAATGCTTCCTTTGCTGACCAGAGGGTGAGAGAGTGAAGGGTATATATGAAACACTGAAGCCAAGTGAAGGGTTTCAGATGCGTCTGTAGTAAAAGCATGTGTGAAAGCCATAGTTTGGTGGCCTGCATCAGAAGCTCAGCATTTTACAGTACTTTCAGATAATATACAGCCCTTACAGTTACTTCCTTTTCTGATGGCCAGAAGGTTTGATCTTCTATACTAGTAACTGATTGCAAGTACTACCTTTTCGGTGATTATCATGAAGTCAGGGTGAATGCAAGCACTGCAACATGCTTATTGAACACCACCAGCAGCAGCATCTCAAAACTTACCTGGTTTTAATTTGTAGAGGAAAAGAATAGATGAACTGAGCACCTGTATTAACTTGCAGTGGGAAATCAGCAAAAACACAATGCTGTCTTCTCAGGTGGATTATGTGTGGGGATCCTGAAGGACAGCTAATAAGCCTAGCAGGACTGAGGAGATATGAGTGCTCTCCAGAATGTTGATGCTATCTTAAATGACCTTGGGCAAGTTACTTCCATCTCTCTGCTTCATGGTCTCTGTCTGTAACATAGAAATAATCATACTTACCTTTGATTTTAAAGGATTTTGAGATGTATTAATGAGACGTTCTGTATTGGTCTGGAGAGATTAGCCATTCACTTCAGCGGATGCTGAAGTGTAGAAAAATTAGAAGCTGTTATTAGAAGGGAACTGAAAATCTTATTTTAGTCAAATAATATATGGTAAACTTCAGTCATGGTGTTTAATATTACAAACTCATTGTTTATGAAGGTGTCAGAGAAAACAATAGTATATGGAACTCTGTAGTTTCATTACTGAAAGGACAGCCAAGTAGAGGAAGGTCATGAAAGGCCTTGTCATTGTAAGTGTGTTATACTAATGACTTTCAGAGGGTCAGCATCAAACATACTTTTGGCATGCATAAAATTTTCTTGCATTAAATATGTGGAACCAGCTTTATTTTATTAAGTGTTACCCATGTCGGTCAAGGAAAAGCTCACTTTGGCCCTTGTTTTTTAAACTCATATTGTATGGAACCCCTGAATTTCATGTAGAGAATTTCAAGGCTAGGACCTGGAAGGAGCCCAGGTGCTAAAGGCAGAAAGTTAACAAATTGCTGAAATAACCTTAGAAGTAAAATATAAAATAGAATAAAAAACGTGTTTGTGTAGCAGCAAGGACAAATGCAATGATGATTAAATGGGGGCTATTAATGAGGTTGCTTTGCACAGGAATTCAAGGCTTAATGTTATAAGAACACACAGTGTGTTTTACCTCTCCATTCATCATCATTTTAATAAGAAACTAGAGATGAGATTGATTTGTATTCATTTTTTCAGGGAAAGTCCAAAACAATACCCTGTTTTAATCCCAACTCTTTATTGCCAGGTAGGTGCCTTTGCTTACTTTTGTGTGGGTGAATTACTAGCTAATTGCAGAGGCGGAGACAATCTTGATCTAAAGCATAGCCTAACTGCAAGCCTGAGAGTGTGTTCCATAGGGTGGTAATGCATTTTGCACCTAGTGGTGCTAACAGGGATAGGGATGAATTCCCTTTGGAACACGATAAATCCGCACCCTCGTCGTGTGAGTGGGATGTGATACTGTGGTCCATGCACTGCTGGCAACGCTGTGGCTAGCCTTCTTGATGATTTATCATCCCGCCCAGAGGGGGAGTTGTATATACTCCTTTCTCTACTTCAGCATAAAATGGGAAGTGTAGGGTTACCCACTTACCAAGATAGCTTTTCAGCAGCATCAAAAGACAGTGCCATAATACAATGACAGTTGTATAGCATACAAGGAGTAGTGACAATGGGAGGCAAATTCAAATTCATATAGCTAAAAGTTAAAGAGTAATAGTAGGCAACAACCACTTCCTCTACCTTGTCTTGAAAAAAATGCGGCATTTTAAAAAACACATTTCTACAAGATGAATGTTTCTGCAAGGAATCCTTCTGAGCTACATTCCATGTCATAGTGGCAAGATCTTTAATTTTCCAAAGTAATCCAGGTCTACATTAAACTATATTAATTATATCAAAAGAATATTGTTTAGGTTGCAAAGTCAAGTGCTCAGCAATTAGGAATTGCAGGAATTAAGGCTGCCTGTGCCCCTTCATGCATATGCATTATAAAACATCTTTTAATTGTGTGACCATAAGTTATTTTTTACAGGACCCCTGCCTCACAGTTCCTGTTTGATGCTGATCAAGTCACATAAACCAAAATTTTCATAAGTAATCTCTAACTATGTGTTCCTCATTTTCTAGGTGCCCGACTTGAGATCATGGGGTCTGATTTGCAGAAGTGCTGAGTGCTTACACCTCCAACTGAAGTCAATGGGAGCAGTGCTCTGACTGCATTAAGTCCTATAGAAAGTTAACTACTCTGAGAAATCAGGTTCTAAGCATCTCATGTTGAACACCTCAAATGAATAGATGCATTTGATCTTAACTTCTCTGTGCCTCAGTTCCCCAGCTTTAAAGTGTGGGGGCAATCTGTCCTTCCTTACCACACTGGGGTGTTGGAAGGATAAATTAATTCATGTTTGTGAAGCACTCAGACACTGAAGAAATGAGTGCATTAGAAATATGAAAAATGAGAAAATGTGGTCCTTCTAACAAGCAAGATGGGAAAAAGAAGACCAAGGGCCACATATTGTACTGAGAAATCCAAATGTTATTAGATGCTTTTCAAAAGAAAATCATCCATCTTTGCAAGTAAATGATGAAAGGTTCTCTAGAAAAGACATACATGATCACGTAACAAGACGGTGTCACAATGCATGCACAGGATGGGCTGAATTAATTCTTGCAGTTCTTAACTTTTGAGTGTTTGACAATGCAGCTTGCTTCCAATGGATTTGCTCTGTAATTCCCTAACTGAGAAAGAAAATTACACCAACAAAACAAAATCCATTCACTGACAATCACGGGCTTCATTAGCAAGATTTAATTCTACTTACATTCCTCTGAGCTAGTAGTGAAATGGCAGTAACAAGTTAGATCAACCAAGCAAGTTTATTCCATTTTCCAGCCTCCCATCCTGTCCTTGTCAAGCTAGTCACAACCTTCCCCCTAGCTCTCCATGACATGATTGACCAGCCTTTGTCTCCAGTTCCTCTCAAGGTTTGTTTCTTGTTCCCTCTTTTACAGTGAGGCAGTTTCCTATACGTACTTCTTAAGCTGTGTCATTTGTGAGTATGGCCTACAGCAGCAAAGGGCAGCCCTGTGTAGTCTCACGAAGTGCAGTGTGACTGGAATCTCTGGGGAATTAAAATTAAAATAATTAAAATCGAACATGCATGTAGAGTTAAAACTCTGGACAAACCATTGTACGTTTTCTTGAGAGACAACTGTTTATTCTAACAGTTATTTATAAACCTATTAATAAGTTTATAAACTTACTAAAATAAGTTTATTCTTAAATAAACCTTGATTTTTTTCCCTGTGAAATTCAACTCACTTTTCCAAAGCTAGGAGACACCAGTGCATCTCAAAAAATGTCACCAGAACTGTGAACTGAAAAGTTTGGCTTGAGCTGTTTTCATTGTTTTTTTTTTTTTTTTTTAAATGAAATAAGTTAATCCTTGAGACGTATCCTAAATGTAGAAGTCAGTTAAAATTTGATCACCGCAGCCCCTATGCCTTCGAAATGGGATGTCACTTGTAGCTTTTGACACTAACAGGAGTTATTTCCCACCATATTATGTAATTGCTGTGTTAGTTTAAGGAGTTGTGCACATGTTATTTTTCACATCTATAAAGTGGCATTTTCATCTTTAAAATACTCATCTGCAAGGGGAAGTTACTGTGGTATAATGACCAGAAGCTCATGTATGTTCACATGAGAAAGTAGTGGACAGTGCTTGGCAGGATACAAATTCACACCTTAACTTACTGCATACTAACTTCATCATATGAGCAAGCCCATGGCTATCATCAGCAGTCATAATTGGAAAGGCACAATTATCTTCCTTAATGTCATTAAAATTCCACATTTCTTCTAATTTCAGATCCTCTACTGCGTGACTACTGGGTGTATGAGGGCTCTCTAACCATTCCACCCTGCAGTGAAGGTGTCACCTGGATATTATTTCGCTATCCTTTGACTGTGTCCCAAGTGCAGGTAACAGCTGTGCTTAAAGTGACCTTGGAATATGGTTATGAGCTAAAGGTTATAGCGTGCAAATATATATATCAGGGCATTATATCTGTTCTCCTTGAAGATCCCATTAGATCAGTACATGGCTTTTCAAGTAAAGGTTAAGCCTTTTGAGTCACTGAAAGCATTGCAAAGGTCAGAGATGAAAAACCTTGTTATCATTTATCATCTGCATTTAAAATAATTCTTTATTTAAGTGAAAGAAAAAGAAAGAAAGAAGTCAATGGGCAAAAGAAATTCAATTCTTTGTAATTGTAAGCTTTCAAATATCACTGCTTTTTGATGTTAAAAGAACAAAAAAGCACAGGGAAACACTATGTCCTGGAGAATGAAAAATGTTAACATAGTACAGGCTAGCTATATTGCATTGAACTATATTTAACTTCCCTTGCTCTTTTTTTAATTCTGTTTTGTAATAAATGTCAAATGGAAACTACCTATTTGAATTTGATTTCACATGTGTGTATTTTAAAGTTGGGTTTTTTTAAAATTATATCTAACAGTCATGTGAGCCTTTCTGTAGAAAACATTTCAACTCTGTCCACAAATAATCCCAGTAAAACCAATGAAAATTCCTGATGGATATTCTCCCACGGTCTGTGAATCCCAACTGGAGGCATGTGGAATTAGTTTAAGTGAAACTATCTAGAATCCCTGAAGCTGAATGCATTAATTTTCATTGCCTGCTCTGAAGCATGTGCAAACAGAAGAGAAAAAGGTATAAAAGGTGATAAATTCACATTTAAATTATTTCAGCTTTAATAATCTAAAATTTTGCTAGGAATCCCAGTACAATATTTTAACAACTTTTAACAATTTGAAATTGGCAGTGTTTCTTTTCATATGAAAACTGAATTCTAGTTCTAATCATAGGATAAAAGCAATAGCTCTCAATAAGCTTATTTGTATGATAGCTGCAACTTAAATGTATCCCGTCATGAATCTGGTATTTATTTGCTTATGAAAGGATAAGTCTTATGGCTGCTTACTACTGAGTAAATGGAAACAGAACTCTGTTGGCATTATTAGATTCAGAATAACTTTTAAAGACAGAGTGCATTTTGTAACTTGGCAGCTGATTGTCCAGATAAGATACGGATAAATAAGAGGACTTAGTAAGAAGTATAAAGACCATAGCTATTATGCTGAGACATTGTACGATATTTTATTTTATGCTAGTTGCAGATTTTGTAGTCTCTATTCCCTTTTAATCCAGTCAATGCACAGAGGAGGGCACAGTTCAAGCCATCCACATGGGATGGGAGACAGCAAGGGGGTGAATGAAAGAGGAATTAAGCAGAGAGATGCAACTTCAGTTAATATTATTATGTGCTCATTTACCACAACGAAACAAGATGTTGGAACGTGGTGTGAAGGGGATAAGTCTCCAGAAGAGAAAATTTTGAGAGTGTGATTTATAACCACGGCCTTTAGGTGAGGGGCAGCTGGTTTGTGTTGCTACATTACTTTGATTGGTATAAACCCAATCCAACAAGAACATTGCAGTGATGAAAGGTGTACAAGTCATGGAGGGACTTTTTCCCTGCCGCTGGCACAGTATGCAGGTGAGAGGTGGCACTGGAGCAGAGTGAGAGACTGGAGTGGACTTATGCCAAGATGATCCACAATACTTTGTACTCACTGTAGATCAACATCAGTTAGAAAAAAAATCGTCACTGCTAGTCATGAATGCAGTAGCATTAAAGTCAAGGTTGTGCAGAAGGGACTTATTAACAACATGAAGGACTTTTGCCAAGGTGGGATAAAAATTTTACTTGCATCTGATACTGCTTTCAGATGTAAACTGAAAATAAATATGGGGACAAGTAAGGGTTTCTAAAGTCAAAAGGGACTGAGAGTTCTCCAGGATGCCCAAAATCTGATTTTGGGGGTGCCAGAATATTTTTCCTATTGTCTAGACATCCAAGATTTTAACTTGTAATTAGCATTTTGGCTGCGATTAAGTATCTATCTGGCCTCTTTTGTGATTGTGGGCATGAGTGCCTATGAGAGATTCTGTTTAAGGAGAGATTAAAAATGCAAGGGCTTTTGCCTATGGTAAATAAGAGGATGTAGTATAGCATATACCATTCTGAATCGTCCATGGAAGGCTGGTAAAGGCATTTAAATTTATTAAGCCTGCTTGTAGTATTAAAGCATAGATATCAGTGAAAATACATTTCTAATGCATTTAAATACATTATTTTTACATGTGTCATTAACTTGTAGAACTTTCTTCTGTGGGATACTAATGAACATAGCTTATGAAACTTCAAACAATTTATATAAGTACTAGTAGCATCTGTGGTTATAGTCAGTAAGAGACAAATTCAAGGCTTTGTATTTTCATTTTTCAGGCCATAAAATAATCAACTTCTGAGTATCAATAACAAGTAACAATAAAGAATGACACAGTCTGATATGGAATAGGTTTTATTGCCTTCCTCTGATGAAGCTAGTTAATATATTGGAAACAAGATACTCATTCACATTCTCATTTTCTGTAATTAACATAGCAATATTGATTAGCTTAATGAACTGTGGGTCATAAGGGGAAAAATGAATAAAATTGCAGTTCTAGTTCATGGCCACATCTATATATTTTCACATTTGCTTATTTTGAAACAAGGGAGAAGTAACTATTTTGGCATAGGCATAATAGGCTGACCATTGCAAAGTAAAGAACCTTTTTCTTTTGCTCCTGAAGACATCTACAGATAGTAAAGTTCAGCTGATGAGTTGACTTGCTACTGATCTAAGTCAATGTTAAGTGAAAGGAGATGCATCTCCATATGCACCTCACTTCAGCAGCTGGGATCTGAGTGTGTTGGTTATATGAATGGCAAAAGAGCAAGCCAGGACTGCAGTGTGAGGGTGTGCTTCCCTGGAGTCCAATGCTGTTTCCTCACTGGAAGTAATTTTCTTTGACATGAGGCTTCACTTCATCAGAGAGCCGTTACCTTCACGGATGGTTCTGTGGGGTCTGGATAAAGTATGCAGGCAACTCTTTTCCCCTGGGCTTTGCAAATCTGGTTCTTGGGAGTTTTATTACTGACCTCAGTGGAAAGGAGCTTGTCTTGAAAGCTGCACCCTGCAGTGCTCTTTTTGCATGTTCCTGCCCTCCTTTTGTGGTTTTTATCATCCTCACTTGTCTTATGTTGAAATACACAGCCCAGAAAGAACTGTGTTGACTGCTTTTGTGAGACACCTCGGCCATGCATGTACACTGCTGAAATGCAATGGGAGAAAATAGAAAACTCCCTCCTATTAGGTCAGTAAAGAGCAGGAAATAATTGAAAAAGACTTGCTCGTGCTTCTCTCCACTATATTTTTTAGAAATTGGACATTTGTGAATAATGTGCTTTGTGGTTCACTGAAGCCCACAATAAGTACATTGTCTAAGCCACTCAGAGTAGGGATTTTAAACAATGATGCAGCAAGGAGCCGTCATTCTTCTGTACTCGTTGTCAGAGTTAACTGGTTTTGTATTGAATGGTGAGGTCTCTGGTCCTTTTGTCTACCTCATTCAAAATCAAGACCTCCTAAAGGACAGAAATAATAACGAGCATATGGAGCTGGAGTGGGAATTGTGCAAAATTTATGTAGTTTGTGAATTAAAGCACTCTGAGAGGTTCACAGTATTCTGTTCACTGGGAAGCATGTCTGTGTTCTTGGAAGGTGTCATGGAGGCATGTGAAATTTTCAAACAGAAGGATAATGCTTCTATTCCTCATATAGAAGAAATGTTTGTAGAGAAAACATGCAAATTCTTTGTTTTGTGTGTTCTAGTCTTCAGCAAATTTTTAAGTGAAACAGAAGAAAGCAGTATTCAGCATCTGAATACAGGGAAGTGGTAAAAACATTCTGGCAAAATGCTATAAAATACAAACTAACTTTGTTTTTACTCAGTAAACATGCTAACATTATGTATTTGCCCTTTGACTGATTAGAATTGGATCCTGAATTTTGGTGTGAACAGGCCTGGATCATCCTTAGTGTCTTCTGGGCATGAGAAAAACTTTAATAAATGGCTATTCCAATATCCAAGGGTGCTTAGCCATACGCCTCTAAAAAATCTATTTCCTTGGCAGTCCTGCAGGGTGTACTTCACAGCAATGACTTGTGAGGCGTTGGGAGGAGATAGTAAATGGTTCCATATTAGAGGAAGCAGAATAAGTGGGGCACACATATTATTGTCTTATCACATGGAAATTTAATACAAAAGGTAACATCAGCACAGCTAGTGTCCTGTTCTGACAACGACTTCTCAAGAGTGAGGCAGACCACCATGTATATAGAGGGTCTCTGTCACAGGGGTCTGAACCATGATATGAAAAACTGAACAAGGAGGCTGGTGGGCTCAGAAGCGATTCCCCCTCAGAGTAGGGCTGCAATTCCTGCCTTCTCTGAAGACTCAAGAGGAAGCACAGGGATCAGGTCAGTCCTGCTTTCCTGACTGAAGAAACTGGAAGCTGCTTTGTGAGGAGTACCTCCCGGAGAAAAATTTCACTGTGGGGATTGGGGCAGAGCATTTGTAGTTACTGTAGCTCGCAAATGCCAGCTTTGCAGAGTCTGCTTTTCCCTCTCCTTCATCTGTGTTTGTTTGAAGTCTCTCATTCTCAAAAGATCAAACAAAAGCTGCATTCTTGTAAAATGCTCCTTCCTAAACGACAATTATTTCAGACTTTCTGGAGCTGTTTCAGGTAGTGAAAGAGGGTACCTTTACAAAACCCATTCAGTGATTTACCAGCACTTGACTCCTGAAGACTTTCTCAGTTCCAAGCCTGTAGTGGGTTTGTTTTCAGTTTGCTTTAAATAAGCAAACAAAAAAAAATCTTCCAAAACAGAGTTCTGCTCTAAAAGCACCTTCAAGGAGATTTACAGTTTGTTCTGCTTTTCATCTTTTCAGTCTAAGCTGTTGCCTTATATCTCGGCTGCAAGAAGCTGAGTGTTGATTTCTAAGCTTGCTGTTTTTTGAAGAAAATACAGCAGAGCAGAGTTAGCCTCTAAATCAAGTAAATAAGTCTGTATCAATTCTGCTCTAGAGTGGAAAACAACAATGAAGGCAGTTGTCTTCAAGGTTTCAGTAAGAAAGCATTCTCTGCAGGCAATATAAGAATAAAAATGCCATTACCTGCTGTTTAGTACCTCATTTCTTTTAATTCTGGAATCACACTTGCATTCTCCCTGTAATCCCCCATAGGGTGTTTTCCATGGAGAAATTCACTCTCTATAATTTCATAGATGATAAAATGATTAAGTACTTCAGGCTCCATTTTGCTTTCTGTGTAGCTTCAGTTTCAAGTTACAGCTGAGCTGGATAGTGAGGCATCACAGCGTCAGTACAAGCACAGAGGCTCAGACTAGGGGAGTCAGCCTTCAAGTAGATTTGCTGTGTCCAGCTAAGATAGCTTGTCAATATGCCAAAGCAAAAACTAACACAATTTTTTTTAGTAGTTGTAACTATTATTTTAAATACCAGACTCTTAAAAACAGCACTGTTCAGCAATAAGGTATCAGGTTGTTGAGATATGCATTGATTTTCTTAGTTTTTTGTCACACAGAGCTTGATGCTGATACCAAGGATGGAGATAGAAGCTGCTCACGTTCTTCCCACCAGAAACATATTTGTTTTGGATCAATTGAAATGTTTTATATTGATTTTTGACTGTATTTGATTTTCTAAGTATGCTTAGCACCTAAATCTACAGAAATTTTGAAGTGGTATTTTGTTTAGTTGTGAAAAACCATATTTTTCCATATAAAAAGTCAACAGGCTTCCTCTAAAGCTGAGTCTGTTCAGGATTTTTCAGGTTTAGAGAATAGTTTTTATTTAAATGAAGCAACAATTTCAGGCAATAAGTAAATCACTGGAAAAAATTCAAAACAATTTATAGTCAACCAAGTTATTCCTGAAATGCACTTCTTTGAAGAAGACCAGAATGATTACTCTCATGTCACAACTGTGAGGTTGATTCATAGAATGTAATCTACAATGGCTAAGAAGGTTATAGATCCCAAAAGAAGTTACAAAAAAGCAAAGGATAAGTTTGCCAAACCATCTGCATAAAAGTTGTTATTTTTCTCTATATGTTAAATGTTTTGACAGCTTTTTTTTAAATGTTATTAATGATGTATATTGACCTCAGTATATGGTACTCGAGCACTCCAAGTTTCAAGGCTGCAGAAGTGGCTGGGCAAGGCTGATCGTGATCATTAGTCCCACAGTGAATAATGTATCTCAGCTTCTTCATGTCTGTTTTTCTGCCTTTCAGATAGAGGAATTTCGTAGACTGAGGACACACGTTAAAGGTGCAGAACTTCTAGAAGGCTGTGATGGAATCCTAGGAGATAACTTCAGACCAACTCAGCCACTTAGCGACAGAGTCATAAGGGCTGCATTTCAGTAGCGGAAGAGGAAGAACAAAAATAAATCTTTATTCAGGTAAGTAAAAGCTTAGCAGAAAAATCAAAACATTGAAATAATTTTCATAGGGGAGATTGAGCTAAAGGAGAAAACACACTGAGTTCATTTCAGCTAATGTTACGATATATTGTCACAATTGTAAGTTTTGACACTGTACTGTTTTATTTTATGCTGTGGTGTAATAGTTTGGTTCCTATTGGTTCTTTAGTGGCTGGAATAGTTTGGTTACTATTAGGTTCTTTCGTGGCTGGAATCTAATACATGATTTAGTGAACTGAAATTTTTGTAATGGCTTCAGTAGGCAGTGGATCATGCACAGTTAGATCACAGTTACTTCTTGTAGCTTTAAATTTCTCCTGCTGCAGTGAGCAACAGCACAGTATGCCTAGGTTATGTGGCAGATTTCCCCACTTACTGATGTTCACTGGTTGATTTCTTACTGTATTTTTAGAAGACCAGTCATTGGTGAATCTTTCTAGTGTTGTCTGTTAAAAACCAGGGTAGTAGTTCTGGAAGGAGGCCTTTAATTCTCAAAGGAGGCCTTTTTTTTTGGATCCCATCTCCCTGCTTTACAATGCTGTTCTTTCCCAACAAGACTGAATCTTGTGCAAAACCAGTGCAGATACAAGAGGAAACTAATTAACTTCTGTCATGGCTAATTTTTCATATTTTATTCATCAAAGTAGTTACTTCTTCTTGTCCTCAGTGATGTTTGCAGCCTTCATTGGTTCACAGAGCAAGAATTTAAGGATGACGTTGGATTCAATGCATAAGAGCTAATACACATTTGAACCTGCATTATCCCCACTTCAGTTGTTAAAACCTCCCATGTCATATTCCCCTAGCCTCTATCAGTTACAAGATAAATTCCCTCAATGCTCGACAGTTACTCCTAAATGTCATTATACTTAGTTAATCAATGTTTTACTCTAATGAAAAACCTGGTAATGAGATTCTTAAGAGAGTGAAAGAAAATTTGCTATCAAGACAACTAGTTACCTTGAAAGTAGTGAGTCAAGACACCAGCATTTATGGTTGAATTTGCAATGAAGTGTCCGCACCTTGATACAAATAGTAAGACAGCTAATCTGGCAAGTCTTCAAGAGAAGAAAGAATCTGTTCACTTGCTTTCTTTAATAAGTCCTACTACTTTTTAGCAGAGTAAAATTTTTCATCTACTATCCTACAGTAAACTTTATTTAAATAATAAAAACATTGGGTACTTCCCATTACCCTATTTTACTGGTAGAATCCATTATATAAAAGCACCAGTTTTTCCATCTGTGCATTTCTTCAAAGCCATATGCTCACAAGAGAACCAGTTCATCCACAGTTTCACCTGGAAGCATGCTGCTGAAAGGCTTTTGATACACACTTTTGGGTAAGGAAATTTATTTGTACATCAAATTCTTGCCCTATCTAGGTCAATGATGGAACTCCTTAGTTCACTTCAGGCTCTGTTGTGGAGTTAAGCCTCTTCAGAGCATGCTCTAGGTCCAGCCCCCAACTTCATATGAAGTTAACAAATGATCAGGCAGCAGATAATCCCTAACAGAGATTACTAATTCAGTGCTTCCAAAAACTGATCCATTAAAACTGAGTGGGAAGATTATCTTTCCTCCTGCATGTGACAGAAATTATTAAATGGGCTGGGACAGTGGCCAACAATTTCATGATCTTTCCATATAGCATAAGCATTCAATATAGTGTATGCATCTAAACATTTTTAAAGTAAGGGTTTATTTGTCTTTTATAACCCTATTTAATATCTGCATCCCAGAAGTTAAGCGAAGAAAGCAAAACATTGGTCCTTTTATTAATGCTGTTTTCCAAGCCCAATTCTCAATTGCATGGTTCTCTGCAGTCACCAAATGTTGTCACTTTAATCTTGAAATGGATGTTTCAAATTCATCCCGGCTTCTGCATAAAAATTACTTGGGAAAATTGTAGCAATATTAAAGTACAATTTTTCTCAGAGAGTGAATAATGCCCTCAGGCCAGTGCAGGTAATTCAAGTCCGTAACAGTGAAATTACTTGACATGCTGAGTTTGAATTTTAAGCATGAAAGCGTTTCTTTTACAATGCTGGAATTGAAATGTAAAAATTTCCCTTTTGCTTTCATGTTTGAAATTTTATTACATTTGTCAATACTTACAAAGATTTGTTTTAAATAATAAGATTTATCTTAGCCATGCTTCACAAAATAATCTGTAGTTTTAATTCCCAAATGATGTATTTTTAATGTAAAATGATAGTCCTCGCTGTAGGGCTATGCTAATTATGGACTGTCATGCACTGAGAAAGAACTGTGACTCCTGGCATTGTGTAGCCCACACAAGAAATGGCACTTGGCTCTCTACACCTAATTGAATTATTTATCAGAAATTCATTTGGCCAGGTCTTCTTTTTAGTTTTGGATGCATCGGTCCAAATAGCACTGAACCAATCGAGGGTTCAGAATATATTCTTCCTATTGAGTTTGTCTCTGGGGAGCTGGAAACTAGATATATGAAGCATAAAAAGAAATTGTGTGGCTTTGATCACCTTTCTTCTATGCAAAGAGGGAGAAAGGGAAGAAAACAATCCTACCTGCTTTGTAGTCATCTCACACAGTTCTCTCCAGGAGGAGCAGTAGCTCCTCACGCAGACCTCAGACATCCTCAGGTAAGACACCTTCCCTCATTCATAGGAAGGGGTAATGGTCCTTAAGCTGAGACTGCTGACATTGGCTGAATATTGCTATGAAGACTCAGTAGCAGATGGGGAGGTAGTAGTTTGCAGGGTGGCATCTACACAGTGATCCAAGAGGGAGCATTTCTTCCTTTCAAAGAGGAGATTGTCTTTTATTTTAAAGCTCTGGTGTGTCTCGAATATTATAATTACAAACACACTGGCAGACTTCTTTTCTGACACAGCGCCCCTCTGTCAAGGCTGCTGGAACTCCTGTCAGTGAAGTTTTCAATATTTTCTTTTATTCCAAGCCAGTGTGGTGCAGCCACTTGAAGAACCTTGAGAAACATTAGTTTTCCATGACCTCGTCACTCTGTCAGGGAAAGCAGGAAACAAATGTTTCCATACATGTTGTATACACAGGTGCAGAAAGAAGTTGCTTGAAAGGTCTAATTAGTATTGACTGAATCAGAATGCAGGCTCTATGCATGCCACAGATCTTCAGGACATCTGCTCTTCAGCCTTGATTGAAACCTTGACAGAACTGAACCCTTTGTGGCTTATGATGAAACGGCATATGTTGATCTTTGATGCAATTTGTGGTAGTTTGTTGAATTGAAGGCAGCGGTGACACAAACATGATATATCAGGGTGTGTAATCTCAGGTAAAGAGCTGATTTTTTTTTTTTTAAATGTTCCTCTATCATGGGAAAGCCCAGATCTCAAAATATTCCCCTCCTGTTCTAGAACAAAGTTTGTGTAGGCTCTGAAGGGAGCCTTCAGGAGGACAAAACAGGTAGAACTTTGTAGCTTCACTGCTCTCTTTAACCTACTGGGCTTTAGAATAAGTTCGTTGCTATCTAGTTGGACTCTTTTGACTCTGCTTTTCTGCTAGAAATGCATCTCTCTTCTATAGCCTGGGGTTAATGAGTCTTTGGACTCTGTTATGTGGGTGTTTTTTAAATATATCCCTTAGAGAACAGCCTTTACATCCTATTTCTCCTGCAGTTGCCAAAGTTTTCACATATGTTTCCTTTGAAAAAGCCATTTTTTTTCTTATTTCTAACCTCTTTAAGTCATATCCAGTAGTGATAGAACCAGGTGTTAAGGAATTTGGAGGGAAAGCTCAGTACAGATTTGGTTTCAGACATGGAAAGTGAAAAAATTGAGTTCAGTTTTAGGCAGCGAAGAACAATAGAATCACAGAATAGTTGTGGTTGGAAGGTGCCTCTGGAGATCTGCTAGTCCAGTCCTCTGCTCAAAGCAGCGTTAACTACAACGGGTTGCTCAGGGCCATGTCCAGCTGGGTTTTGAATATCGTAAGGATGAAGACTCCACAACCTCTCTGAGCAACCTGTACCTGTGTTTGACCACCCTTGCAGGGAAAGGGTTTTTTCTTCATTGTAAATGAAATTTCCTATATTTCAATTTATATCCATTGCCTCGTCTCCTTTCACTGGATACCACTGAAGAGTCTGGTACCATCTTCTATACTTCTTCTCATAAAGTATTAGTACACATTGATAAGATCCCTCTTGAAACCTCTCTTCTTGAGGCTAAACAGTCCCAGCTCTCTCAGCCTGTCCTTCTATGACAGGTGCTCCAGTGCCTTAATCATCTTTGTGGCCTGTTGCTGGACTCAGTCCAGTATGCCCATGTTTCTTTTGAATTAGGGAACCCAGAACTGGACCCAGTACTCCAGATGTTTCATCAGTGCTGAGTAGAAGTGAAGGATCATCTCCCTCCACCTGCTGGCAACACTCTTCCTAGTGCAGCCCAGGAGGCTGTTGGCCTTCTTTGTTGCATGGGTGCATTACTGGCTCATGTTCAACTTGTTGTTTACCAGGATGCCCAGATCCTTTTCTGAAAGAAAAGAGAGAAAGGATAACATTGTGACTTCCTCAGTGTTACCACTAGTTTTTCTGATACTTCATAGTTGACTCAGAGCCCTTGCTATGGGCACCAGGGTATTTCTTGATAATCTCAGGTTACCTTGGAAAAAGATTTGTAATTCTTATTGTCATACAGCAAAGCTTAACAATGGGGACATCAAATGCTACCACTCCTAGAAATCAAATAAGAAAAACCTTAAATCTTCCATTTTATTAAAGGCTAGTTTTTTGGCAATTTGAGTCCTGACGCACTATTTTTAAACATGTGAATTGTGAGTATACCAGCAGGTTATTTTATTTTGGGGCTTGCCACTAATGGATAAGTACTTTTTCAGTAGTGTATTCTTCACTGAAGACAGGATCATTTGTGTTTTCCAATGGATTTATTACCCTCTCTTTAATCCTTGTTGCTTTACATGTAACTGATTTGATAGACATACCTTTCTCCTCTATTA